TGGAGTCCCAGGATCGAGTCCCGCATCGGGCTCCCTGCTCAGCGGGGAGTCTGCTTCTCCCTCTGACCCTCCCCCCTCTCATGCGCTCTCTCTCTGTCTCATTCTCTCTCTCAAGTAAATAAATAAAAAAAAATCTTTAAAAAAGAAAAAAGAAAAAAAATATATGTAAAAATATTTAGAACAGTACCTGGCATATTAGTGGCTAGCTTCCTGGATAAGAGTAATTGTGAGGATCAGTATGCACAGCTGAGCATGAACTGAGTTCTCAATAACTGGTAGCTCTTACTACTACTAATAAAAACAATAGCATAATTTCAGGTTTTGGGCTGAGAAGGGGACTTTGTGATAGCTCTCAAAGAGAGTGGGAGAGAAAAGATGGTAGATTTATCATCTGGTGTTGGTATACTGTCAAGTTTTTATTTACTGAACAAATAAAGTATATGTCACTCCCTGAGGATTCATATAGGAACTCAGAGCCTCGCTGAAGGGACAAAACATTTGTCATCGGGGCTTTGAAAGAGGAACTGAGTTCTCCAGGGGTTCAGAAGAGGGCAATTTGGGAAGGCTGCCTGGAAGAGGAAGCATCTGAACCCTTACAGAGGGAAATACAGGACAGGAACTCTGAGGGTGGAAGGGAGGGCATGAGTAAGCATCTGGAGGTGGGGATGCATACAGCAGGTTTGAAGAACTGGGGGCAAATTCATTAGGCTGGTGGGCGGTGGGGGGTTAGGAGAGGTCTTGGGAATCAGGCTAGTGAGGGGATTTGGAAAACCTCCATTAAAGAGCTGGTAATAGAGGTCAAAGTTGAGCCACCTCCCCCCTGTCTCTCTGGCCACTGATTTCTCCTGGATCTGGAGTGGGGTAGGGCAGAGTCTGGGCTCACGTGGTCTCTCCCCTCCTTGCAGGAAGATATATGAGTTCCTCTCCACATTCATCACCTCGGGGATGCGCTTCCTCCTCAACCAGCAGGTACAGCAGCAGTGTGTGTGGGGGGGTCCCCTCTCTTTGGCAGGCCCTGACTCTAGACCCCACCTCGCAGATCTGCCCCGTGCTTTACCACGCAGGGATGGTGCTCCTCAATTCCCTCCTGGACACTGTGCCTGGTGAGTTGGCGCTGGCTGGGAGGGGAGCTCCGGGCCATGCCTGGGACTGGAATGGGGCTGAGGAGGAGGCTGGGTATACTTCAGGGTGGGCCCCTGCCATGCCCTGGCTTCAAATATGGCCCCTGCTACTGACTGGCCATGTGACCCTAGGTTTAAGTACTCCTCTCTGGGCCTTGGTATCTTCGCTTGGCTGGCCATGCCTCCTCGTGGGGGTTGTTGTGAGGATTAACTCAGTGATGACTGTCAAGGTCCTCGATAGGAGCTTGCTGATCACTGGGACCCTGTTTGTATTCATCCTCTGCACTTCAGAGGTGCTCAACTAACATGAATTCCCTTTTCCTGAACTGTGACCTCTGTCTGCTGGGCGGTAGAGATCATCAGGCCCCACAATAGAGCATGGGGAGGGAGGGAGGAGCCAGAGAGAACAACGAGGGAAGGGACTCCCTTGGCATCTTGTTTAGTGATCTGATGAAACCCTTGTATTGCGGTGATGATGGTGGCAGAAGCAGTCGGCATCAATACTGCTGAGCACTAAGTGCTTCCCACATAAAACTAAATTGATCCCTACAACAACCCTCTGAGGGAAGATTTATAATCACCGCTTTGTGGGTGAGAAACAGGCCCAGAAGGCTGAGCACCTCACCCAGCATCACACAGCTGGAGTGACTGAGCTCCTTCCCGCAGTTCGCAGCTCTGTGGATGAGCTGGTTGGCATCGACTACTCCCTCCTGAAGGATCCTGTAGCGTCCGACAGCAATCTGGACATGGTCTTCCGGGTGAGCTGCCTGGCTGGTATGGCGTCTCTGACCTCACCAGACCTCCCCCTTGTCCCATGTTGGTCGTTTTGTCCTCTGAAGGCACAGCTCCGATGAGGCCACTCCACTGCTGAGCGTGCCTGCTTGCAGAATTCGGTTCAACTCCTGGGTCTGGCTTCTGAGCCTGATTAACCTTGTCTGGCCCCACCTTTCTAACCTCACCCTGTTTCTCGGCACTCATTCTTGCCCACATATGCCCTCGGCCTCCTACCTCAGGGCCTTTGCTCATGCACTGCCCTTCCCCATCTCCCCTGGAGCAGCGGGATGTACAGCTCTATGCGCATAATCGATGTCAATGTAAACTGCAGCTTTTATCATTCCTGCTCTCTATCTTTCAAGGCCCACCATGCCTCCTCCTCCCCAGCCCTTTCCTGGGCATCCCTTCTCTGGTCTGATGGAAGTGCTCCCTTGCAGAACTCCAGCTGCCCTCCTTTGAATGCCTTTTTAAAGAGTTGTGCTAACGAGGGCACCTGGCTGTCGGTGGAGCATGTGACTCTGAATCTTGGGGTCATGAGTTCAAGCCCCGTGTTGGGTGGAGAGATTACTTAAATAAATACAACTTAAAAGAAGTTGTGCTAATGGGTCCCCTAAAGATAGCAGCTGGGTCCGACCCCCACCATCCCTCATGGTGCCTGACACCGGGCATGGGAACATCTGGGTGCTGGGCCACAAGCTGACCCTGATTCCCCAACTGCAGGGGGCCTTCTTTCCTCTGGCTGAGGGGAACTGGAGCCTGCCCAACCGGGCGGTAGAGCCCCAACTGCAGGACGAGGAGCGGATGGTGTACGTGGCCTTCTCGGAGTTCTTCTTTGACTCTGCCATGGAGAGCTACTTCCGGGCGGGGGCCCTGCAGCTGTCACTGGTGGGGGACAAGGTACGCTGGGGCCTGTCTGTGGGATGGGCAAGAGGGGCCCTGTCCGGAACTCCTGATGACCCTGCCTCATCCCCGCTTCCCCTCTCCAGGTGCCCCACGATCTGGATATGCTGCTGAGGGCCACCTACTTTGGGAGCATTGTCCTGCTGGTGAGTGTTGGCGGGAGGTAGGGACGTGGCCAGGGTGGGTGGCCCTACCACCTGCACACCAGCGAGGGGACGCGTGAGGTGTGCAGGCAGAGGCCTCCACGGCCACCATGGAGTGAACAGAAGGCCTGACCTCCTGCCTGTGGCTAAGTCCTCTTATTTGTCAAGGTCGATTCCAAGTCTGTGAAGGGCCCTTGCTACTTCCTGCTCTTCTTCATGAAGCTGGGAGGACAGCAGGCTGAGAACCCAAGCTCTCTTAAGTGTAGGGACTTTAACAATGACAGATGTATTCTTTTTTTTAAGTTAAAGTTTATTTTTTTAATAATCTCTATGCCCATCGTGGGGCTCGAACTCGACCCTCAAGATTAAGAGTTGCATGCTCTACCGACTGAGCCAGCCAGGCGACCCTGATGTATTCTTTTTGCTTATTATTTTCCCTTGTTTCATGGGGAGAGGGGTGAAAGGTCAAAATTTAAGAAGTATCTCAGTGATCATTAGAGAACTTGCCCTTAATCTCCTCTACACTATACAACCTGCCAGAGCTGTCGTGAGGATTAGCTGAGTCAATTCATGTAAAGAAACTAGAGCAGCCCCTGGCGCAGGTAAGTGCTCAGGAAACACTAGCTGCTCCCCCCACTGCTGTCATCCCCATCGTCACCATCAACCTGATGGCCAAGCACTGGTGGGGGCATGGACTCTCTGGCCAAAGTGCCCGGCTCTGAATCCCAGGTTCTGCACCTGGATGACCACAGAACCTTGGACAAGTTACTTAACTTCTCTGTGCCTCGGTGTCCCCATCTCAAAGATGAGTATAGTAATTCCTGCCTCACATGGTTATGATGAGGTTTAAATGAGCTAACACAGGCAAAGTACTGGTCCGCGCCTCCAGGAGAAAGAGCACAGCAGTTCAGCGAAAGGCAATATGGCGGGGGTGGGGGGGGAAATGTGATGCAAACACTGTCCCCGAGGAGTCTGGTTGGAGATGGACCCCCCCCCACTGAGAACTCAGGACAGCAGGAAAAGGAGACATTCCGTCCCTCGTGTCAGCAGACACAGAGGCTGGACACAGTTCTGAAGGGCCTGGGAAGCCACACCAGTCCTCGTATTTGTGTGTTTGGGCTCCCAGCAGGCAGAGCCGGAGCCACCCCATCTCCCCTCCCGGGGCTCATCAGGGAACAGATCTGGGACTTCCCCCGCCCTCCCCACTCTGTCCCCAGAGCCCAGCAGTGATCGACTCCCCGCTGAAGCTGGAGCTGCGCGTCCTGGCTCCACCTCGCTGCACCATCAAGCCCTCGGGTACCACGGTCTCTGTCACTGCCAGTGTCACCATCGCCCTGGTCCCCCCAGACCAGCCCGAGGTCCAGCTGTCCAGCATGACCATGGTGCGGGCACCAGAGTGGGGGCTACGGAGGGTCAGGGACAGTGTGCTGCGGACCCTGTGGGCCAGTAACCCTTCCCTAACCCCCTTGCCTGCAGGACGCCCGTCTCAGCGCCAAGATGGCACTCCGGGGGAAGGCGCTGCGCACCCAGCTGGACCTGCGCCGGTAAGCAGCTGGCCAAGATCTCGGGCGAGCGCTTAACCTCGCTGAGCCTCCGTGCCTTTGGGATAATCGCACCCGCCCGAGAACTGGGGAGCAAAAATCCACTCAGCCCTAAAGCCACTGGGGGAGCTAGGGAAAAACAGCATCTACTATGCTAGCCACAGGTAGCTAGTGGCTCTTACATGACAAATGCAAACATGCAACATTTTGCAAAAGTTCTACTGGACAGCACTGTCCCAGGGGTTAAATGAGATACCGCAGGGTCATGGTTAAGAGCCTAGATTCTAGAGGCAGTTTCTGCCCTTTACCACCTGTGAGACCGCAGGCAAATTACTTCCTCTCTCTAGGCTTGATCTGCCTCCTCTAAAAAGTGCAAATCAGTTTTGTAGTGCCGCCTCCTTAGGGTTATCAGGATGAAGTCAAGTTGGCATTTTAAAATATCTTAATATTTAACTTTTGTAACATGCTTATTATCTGGGAGGGAGCGAGCTCTGTAAGGTTGGTTAAATAAACACAAACCATACGTGCAAAGCTACCAGCACAAGGCTGGTATACAGGAAGTGGTCGACAAATTAAAAGTAGCAAACTTGGAGAAAAGGAACCCCAAGAGTGAGAAAGGACTCCCCCAGGGATGCACACCTGGCGAGTGGCAGAACCCCCGGACAGATGTGGAGGTGGGGGCATCTGCGGCTGAGACTCGGGGGCTTCTGGTGGCCCGAGGAGGGGGAGCGTTCAGGCCTTGTGCCCACTGGACACTTCTTTCTCTCCTGTAGGTTCCGAATCTACTCGAACCAGTCCGCCCTGGAGTCACTGGCCGTGAGTTGGGGGGTGGCGGGGGTGCCGAGGCCGGGTCGGGGCTGGGCAGCGAAGGCCAGGCCGCTTCCTGCTGGCTGCCCTAATGTCCTGCCTCCTCCCTCCCAGCTGATCCCGCTGCAGGCCCCTCTGAAGACCATGCTGCAGATTGGGGTGATGCCCATGCTCAATGGTAGGGCTGGGGGTCGGGAGGCAGGAGAGAGAAAGGCGAGGGGAGCTGGGTGGACCCAAGCTGAGTCACCTGCTCCCACCCACAGAGCGGATGTGGCGGGGGGTGCAGATCCCGCTGCCCGAGGGTATCAACTTTGTGCGCGAGGTGGTGACGAACCATGCGGTGAGTAGGGGGCGGTGAGGGAGGAGGGCAGAGCCTCCCTGCCCCTGCTTCACCACCGACCTAACTCTGCTACCCGACCCCAGCCCCTCCCTTATCAACGGCCCCTCCCATTTTAATCTTCCATCATCAGACTTCTCCAGCCCTCTGCACAGCTAGGCTGTCACCTTGTAAACCTCTTCCCGGATTCCACCCCCAATATCTACTCATCTTGAACGTCTGAGCTAAGAGGTCACCTCCTCTAGGAAGTCCTCCTTGACCTCCACAGACTGTGTTCCTGCAGCCTCTCTTTTCCCCCCTTCACAGGGAGCTAGAACTTCTTTGCTGTTCCTCCTGTCCCACTAAATTGAAAACCCCTCGAGGCTAAGGACTTTGTCTCTATCTTGAAATTTTGGCCTGTGATGGAATGAACAGACTCCCCTCTCTGCCCCACCGCACAGGGCTTCCTCACTATTGGGGCCGACCTCCACTTTGCCAAAGGGCTACGAGAGGTGATTGAGAAGAACCGGCCTGCCGACACCAGGGACTCCTGGGCACCCGGTGCCCCACCGCCCTCCACGACAGCTGCCTGAGCCCTCAAGCCCACCCTGGCAGGGGCATTCAGGACTCTGACACCTCTCGTCCCCTCCCCCAGCCCCCGCCCCCCCTCCCTAGCCCATAGTGTCCTGTCTAACCCCCCAGTGCCACAGAGAAGACAGGGCTTTAAACTGTACCCAATTTAATTCCATAATCAGTCAATCCATCAATTACAGTCCGTCCACCCTCCCCGTGGGCTGTCCTGAGCTCTGCTGTGTTCTAGTGCATGAAAGGAGGGGGCCAGGCCCCACCCCAGTCAGGAATAAAGTGCTAACTCCCCCAGGCTGTCTATGTGAGGCACTGGGGCCTGGTCTGGGAGGCAGAGGGCTGTGGAGGGGGCAAAGGGGAAGCTGTTCTGGAGGCAGGGATCTGCCCCACAGGGGCATTTTGCATAAAGGAGGACCTCCCTTCTAGCAGGAGGGGCAGGGAAGAGGGGCTGGATCAGGCAGAAGGGGGACTGTCTCCATCAGTATGGCTGGATCAGGCAGAAGGGGGACTGTCTCCATCAGTATGGCTGCTTATTCAGGAAGCGGGAGAACATGGTGAGGGCAGCCTGGGGCTTGTCGGTGGGGACCATGTGCCCAGCGCCCTAGGAGCAAAGCCCTGTGAGATCCCCTTCTTGTGTAACCCCTGCCCGTGGGTGTGTCCTCCATCCTACTGGATCCCTCCAACTGGTGACCTTCCTCTTCTCCCAGCCCTGCCCCAAGCACTGCATTTTTCTCACCCCCGCCAGAAAACTTGCTCTTATGAGGCCAAGATGGGACCCCGGTAACCCAGTGTAAAGGGAGCTGGAAGGAGGGCAGGTAGGTCTTGCCCCATCCCCTCCAGCCAAGCCAGCCCTTGCCAGGCCCGGGCCCTACCTTGATGGTGAGAAAGGCAATGTGGGAGAACTCCTTCACGAAGCCAGCAATCTGCTCCCCACTGTCCCCGTAGTCCACTAGCCAGGGCCGGCGCTGGACCTCCATCTGCCTCACCAGGAAAGACTTAGCAGCCTGCTGCCGCCCCATCATCGCTGCTCACGGCTGCCAGGAGACCTCAGGGGCCCGGAACTCCCCCAGGTTTGCCCTGTCTGCCCACAGCCTAGCTGCCGGGCACAGCTGCCCCATCCCTCCCCAGAGCCAGGGTCCTTGCACCGTACCTTCTGGTTGAGGGAATCCACAAACCACTCATCCCCCATGAAATTGCAGGCCATATCCACATCTCCGTTGTAGAGCAGGATCCGGTATTTCTGCAGCAGGGCAGGGGAGGGAACGGGGGTCTGGAATGAGCCCAGGTCCCAGCCCTTCCCTGGTTCAAGCCCTACCCCTGCAGGGAATTCAAGGGGCCCAGTGAACTAGCACAAAGCAGGAAACGCTGTGTTTTCTGACTGTTCTCTACATGTCCAGTGCTCTACTAAATGCTTCACCTATGAGGGCAAATACTATTATTAACCCCGTCTGACAGGTGGGGAAAGCAAGTCTCAAGATATGAGAAACCTGCTCAGGGTCATACAGCTAGTAAAGAAACTTGCACAGGCGATCTGGCCCTAGAGCTCATGCTCTAACCACTGTGTTGTACAGAACCTGGTCCTGAGCGGCTGTCAGGGTCTCCTAGATGATCTTGGACAAGGCCCTCTCCCACCCTGGACCTCCATTTGCTTGTCTATAGCACATTCTCCTAGCTCTTCTCAACCTAAAGTCTCCTTGGCTGACGCAGACCCCCTAGCCTCCTACGAGAGAACAGCATGGGATGGGGACAAAGCCATGTTCAAATCATGACCCTGCCAGTCACTGGGCTTCGTTTCTTGGAGTTTCAGCTTCCTGTGTCCGGAGTTGCACTTAATGGGGGCCCCACCTTATCATGCTGCTCCAGGGTCCCGAGGCTGCTGGTGGACCCAGCGGTGCTGCCCCCACTCACCTGCGCGGTGAGCAGCTTCAGGTACTGGGACTGCATGCTTTGGTAGAGACGGCGGTACTGTATGTTCACCAGGAAGCTGCGGGAGCACGTGGGCAGGCCCCAGAAAGACGACGTAAAGAGAGACAAAAAGTCACAGAGCAGATCTCCTCTCCCAGCCCCTCCTATAGCTCTAAGCTCCAGCCCAGGAGGCAGAGTTGGGATTCAGTCCCCTCCTCGTGTCACTTCTCTAGGACTTACTTGGATGAGGGGCTGGAATTCAGAGGTCCTCACCTCACCCCCATTTAGAAACGTATATAGGAACGTTTAGTCCTGGGTCCACAGCCAGCATTTCGTGCCGAGGGGCCCACAGGTGTGAGAACCACAGCAGCGAACAACAGGAGGGCAGGGGCACCGACCAGTGAGAGGACCTGAGTGGCCCCACGGGGCCAGGCGTCACCCTGTTACTCACACGGGTCATAGGAGATCCATGCAGCTGGGGACTGCAGTGGAGTGGGGGAGTGGGGGAAAGGGTCTGGTATACTAAATACCAGGGACGCAAACCGCCATTTTGCCAACCGATGCGGCCGTTTAAGAATGAATTGGCCAAACAGCAATCGATTGAAGGGTCAAACATCCTGCACAACTCACCGCGGCACCCTGAGTGCCACCCCGGAGAGACCCTGGCCAAGGGAATCCCTGGGAACCTGATACCCATGAGCCCTGAGCCTGCCACCCCCAGAGCCTCACTTGCACATGTCCCAGCGGGGCAGCTGCTCGGGGACGTGGAGGGCCTTCCGCACGTAAGGGTTGTTGAGGTACGTGGAGGCGGCCGTGGTGTTGGTGCAGGGCGGGTCCATGCGCAACCTATCCCCGGAACGCAGCAGTGCCTGGCGGCACCGCCTGAAGGTCAGGGTCTTTGCCTCCCTGCCCCACCCCCACCAGAAGCCGGGCGCTTGCACACCTGATGCCATATCCGTTTCAGTGGCAGGCGAGTGAAGATGTTGCCCAAGTCATGGAGCACGACAGTGTCCTTCTCGTACCTGCAAGTGTAGTGGGGGATGGGTGCCTCGGCCTTCAGGTGAGGCTGGATCCAGGCCCCCCCCCCCCGCGGGCCCCGGGACACACCGCAGGGCCTACCTTAAATGGCCAGGCACACCCCCAGCACAGGGGGCGTAGAGGTTGTAAATGTTGAGGCCGGAGTTGCCGACGATGCGGGACACTTCCTGCAGCTGCAATGACACGCCGAGCCGCCCCGTGTCACGGAGCCCCGGCCTCCCCAAGATCGCTCTCCTACTTCACCTCTTGTCGTTACCCTTCCCCCACTTTATTTTACAGGTAGGGAAACTGAGGCTCAGTGGAAGGAATCTGCCAGCCCAGGGTCCAAACCCTGGTGCCTCTACTCCCTAGCACCGCGACTTCAGGCGAGTGACTTTAACATCCTTGGCCTCAGTTTCCTCTTGTGGAAAATGTGGACAATACAACCTCCCCTAAAGGAGAATCTTCAAGATTAAATAATCTGCGTTGACCTACGTCAGCCTGGTGCCTGGCACACAGTAGGTGCTTGATAAGTGAGATATCCTTTCCCTCCCAGGGGTTACAGGATTTGCCAAGGAGGTCACAGGAAGTGGGGATAGGAACACATCCCTAGATGTGTCCCAGAAAACACCAACTTGCTGAAGGAGGCAAGACAGCAAAGCCATAGGGGACGGGATTAGGGAGTCCCCAAGGAGGGGATGTGGTCCCGTTCTCAGGGCTGGGGGTGTCGGGGTGACAGAGGTTGGGGGCAGAACCTCACATTGGTCACGCATTCTGGGTCAGTGTTGTCGTAGAAATTACACTTGTTTTGAGAGCAGCAGTGGGTCTGGAGAGAAGACCAGAGCCTGTAGGAGATGCACGAAAGTGTTCAGGCCCCAAGCGGGCCTCCCACCCTCTCCCTCCAACCTCCCACCACCACCTGCCCCCAGGGGACGAGGAAACGGATCACAGGGAATGGTATGTAGGTTCCAAACCTAGCTACTCTGGGGCCACCCTGCCAGCCCTCCTCAGTCCCTTCCAGCAACCTCAGCCCCCACCTCCTGCTCATAAACCATGGTAGGGTCCCGTGGGTTATCAATCATGTGCCTGGAGAGCAGACCTGAGATCTCATGACCTGCCCCACCCTGGAGATTGCCCAACTGCCCCCTCCCATACCTGTTCCCCAGAAGGCCGTGGTAGTAGGCAAAATAGACCAGGGAGTTGTCATTCTGCTCATAGGAGGAGAGTCCGTTGCCCACGGCCAGCCCCTGTGAAACACCCAGGGCATTCAGGTCATCTGGAGGGAGAGGAGGAGCCTCCCCTGACTACACCCAGACCTCCAGCAATCTGGAAGCTGAAATCCAAGGTGGTTTGTGGCGAGGCCACTCAAAGAACAGAGCTGGCTGGCTGACAGGTGAGCTTCCTGCCGTGGGAGGCACACGAGCAGAGGCGGGCCAGGCAGTGGCAAGCACGTTACAAAGGAGACCAGGCTGGATGGGGAAGATGGCCTGTTTGACCTCGCTCACTGAAAGGCCATGACCATAAGCTGCCTACTTCCCTCCTGCCAGCGGCCCTGTACCTGAAGGTTCATGCTGGGATCCTGCATGACCAACACCGCCAGGGTGGGGATGTAGATGCCGGCATAGCTCTCTCCTGTTAGGAAAAGCTCATTGTCCTTGTACTCAGGGAAGAGACGGAAGAAATCCTTCAGGGCCTCAAAATTGCTCTGGGCGACCTAGGGAAAGCAGGATGGAGGGAATCAAAGGGTTCTGCTATTTGAGCTGGAAAGAACCTCAGAGATAGGGCGCCTGGGTGGCTCAGTTGGTTAAGCGACTGCCTTCGGCTCAGGTCATGATCCTGGAATCCCGGGATCGAGTCCCACATCGGGCTCCCTGCTCAGCGGGGAGTCTCCTTCTCCCTGACCCTCCCCCCTCTCATGTGCTCTCTCTCTCTCTCTCTCTCATTCTCGCTCTCTCAAATAAGTAAAATCTTAAAAAAAAAAAAAAAGAACCTCAGAGATAATGACACCCACCCACTCTGAGCAAAAAGAAGTGGCTTTGCCAAGACCACACACAGTATGTGACAGAGCCAAAAACAGGCTCCAAGGCCATGTTCTTCTCCCCCAGGGTCATGCCACCCTTAGAGAACCAGGGAGGCTAGGGCACGGGGCAGGCACTGGACTCACCTCGGTGTCGTTGGTTGCGTAAGTCTTGTCATCAGAGTAGGAGAAGCCCACCCCAGCTGGGGACTCAAGGTACAACACACTGGCAATCTACATGGCAGGAGGAAAGCAACTGAAGAAGGCTCCCCACCCCATCCAAGTGCCCAGACACCCCCACAGGACCCCAAGCTCCAGCTATACCAGGTTCCAAGAATAGGGGTTGTACTCCAAGGTGGCACCATCTGGCTGCACCTGAGGAGGAGAGAGATGGCTAAGTGCCAAGGGCCAACTGGGTGGAAGGAAAAGGGCCACCTTGCTGGGCACTCCCCCTTCGGGCAAAACCCCTGAGAGGTACAGAGAGTCAAGCCAATGGTACAGACACGGAACCCAAGCTCAGGAAAAGGGCACACCTGGGAACACCCCCAAGTCCCGTTCTCCCTCCTCCCCAGTCTTTTCCTTTAGGGACAGTACCCCTCCTCTCCCCTTCCTGGCTGGGGGTAGGGGGGAGACAGTGGCTTCCCACTCACCAGGAAGGGGCCGTGCTCCGTGAGGAAGCCATCTAGGGAGCTGCAGCCGGGCCCTCCGTTGAGCCAAAGCACCAGAGGGCTGCTCTTGGGATCCTTCTGGGACTCCACAAACCTGGAAGGGGAGGCAGAGCAGGGTGGGTGCAGGCGGAGGGGCCACTTCCAGCGCTCCCTGCTCCCAGGCTCCCCCAGGGGTCTTCAGACCCTCCCCCAGCTCGCGCGCCGTCCCCTCCCCGCCCCGGAGGGAGGGCCGCAGACCAGTAGTGGAGGTGCTTGGAGCCGGAGCCACGGAGGTAGCCGGAGTACTGGCGGAAAGCTGGCTGCTTGGCCAACCCGGGCAGGCACTGGATCTCATCCAGGTCCGGCGCTGCCTGGCCCGGGGGCGCCCAGGGCAGCGGCAGCAGCAGCAGCAGCAGCAGCCAAGGCGGCGACAGCGCGGCCCAGACCATCTGCGGAAGCAAGCGGGGCAGCCTGTTTCCGCGCTCCCTCGCTCCTCGGCGCTTCCGCGTGGCCGCCCCGCCGAGGAGCTGGCGGCCGCGCGGCTGCCAGAGGAGTCCCCGGCCGGGCCCCAGCGCCCCTCAGCCCCGCCCCGCCGCCCGGCCCTGGGCTGCGGGTCCCCTCCAGCCTCCCCGGGCGCCCTCACCTCTGCTCCCCCGCGTCCTCGCTCTCCAGGAGGGGCCCGGCCGCGGGAGGTCATGTGGAGTCGGAGTCACGTGGGTGCCGGCGTCACGTGACCGCCACCCTCCGGCGCCTCGCCGGGCTCCCTGGACCGGTGGCTCGCAGGCGGGGTCAGAGTCCGCGGTCGTCCCAGGTCGTCTCGCGCGCGCTAGCCATCAGATGACCTAGACGTGGGCGGCCAGGATGCCTCGGCCTCCCGGGGGCCCGGGTCCAGGCGGAATGGCTGAGCAAGCGGCGCTAGGACCCCAGGGCAGGGCCTCGAGGAAGGCAGTCGGGGGGATGGGAGGGTTACCTTACTTGGTGCCCCCGCGGTCACCCTCTGAGCACGCCTCCCAAAATAGCGCCCGGCGCCCGCTAGCCTGTCTCGTGGCCGGGAGATGACTGCTGTCTCAGACCGCGTGGACTTGGGTGCGGCCTGGAGGTCCGCGCGCCCCGAGCCCCCTCCCACCCGCTTCCACCAGGTGCACGGTGCCAACATCCGCGTGGACCCCTCCGGGACGCGGGCCACACGCGTGGAGAGTTTCGCTCACGGCGTATGCTTCAGTAGCGAGCCGTTGGCCCCGGGCCAGGTATTCCTGGTCGAGATCGAGGAGAAAGAGCTGGGCTGGTGCGGGCACCTGCGCCTCGGCCTGACCGCGCTGGACCCCGCCACTCTGGCTGCCGTGCCCGAGTTTTCGCTGCCCGACCTGGTCAGCCTCGGCCACACCTGGGTCTTCGCCATCACGCGCCATCACAACCGCGTGCCCCGGGAGGACCGCCCGGAGGCAGAGGCATTGGTCCCCGGCCGCCCCCCAGCCCTCCTGGTGGAACCGTATCTGTGCATTGAGCAGTTTCGCATTCCCCGCGACCGCCTGGTGGGTCGCAGCCGGCCCGGACTCTACAGCCACCTCTTGGATCAGCTGTATGAGCTGAACGTGCTGCCTCCGACCGCGCGCCGCAGCCGCCTGGGCGTTCTTTTCTGCCCGCGCCCGGACGGCACGGCCGACATGCACATCGTCATCAACGGCGAGGACATGGGCCCCAGCGCTCGAGGGCTGCCAGCCGCTCAGCCCCTCTACGCAGTGGTGGACGTGTTTGCCTCCACCAAGAGCGTGCGCCTGGTCCAGCTCGAGTATGGCTGTAGGTATCGCACCCCCTGAGCAGCGACCCCTCCTGGCCCAGTGCGGGGACAGGAACTTGCTAGGATTCCCAAGCCAGCTAGCAAGGCTTTGGTCTGTCCAGCATTAGTTTAGAAGTTGGGGAATCTGACTTCAAATTCTGCCTCTGCTTGGGATCTTGGACAAGTCAGTCCCTGGCTCTGGGCCTCCGATTCGCCATCTCAGCTGTGATCCATTAGGTTGCTTGCTTTGCCAGTATCTTCTGTATTAACCTAGGGCAGGGATTCTAAACTGTTATACCCGAGTTGCTTTGAAAATTGTGTGCTTTTATTAGACAAATGCTCCTAGATTTGGGCATACCAGTTTACAGACATCATAGGCTCCAGATTGAGAACGTCTTATTCGTCAGATCTGGTCCTTTATAGCCCTCTTAAGCCCTTTATTTATACCTCTGATCATTTTATGAATTCAGTGAACGAGAACCCACTCTTGTGTCAGACCTGTGCTGGAGCATGGGCGTGCACAGGTGAATCAGGCACTACCTGTACCCCCGGCAACTGCTAAGGGAGGGTTAAAATAGAAATAGGGCTGCTGCATTGTGGAGGTTTCGAAAGAGGTGCTTATGTCAACCACATGAACAGCCCTGTGTCACAGGCTGGACCTGGAGAGCAGAAGGGACTTGCCCAAGTTAATGACAAAGGGAGAACCAGGACCTAGATCTTCTGGGTCTTAGCCTCAAAACCGCCCTCCAGTTCAGTTTGCCTTTGACAGCCTTCTCTCCACAGTGCCATCCCTGCAGACTCTGTGCCGCCTAGTCATCCAGAAGAGCGTGGTGCACCGGTTGGCCATTGATGGGCTCCACCTGCCGAAAGGACTTAAGGATTTCTGCAAGTATGAGTAAAGGCCTGCAGCCGCCCTGAAACAGGGCCACAGGAGCGTGTCCTGGCCCCGGAGCTGTGGCTGGTCTGAAGCTGGCCATACTGCTGCCAGCCAGGCCTGGAAATAAACACAGCCGATGCTGACACTGATCACTGGAGGGTCTCCTTGCCCTGGAAGCCTGTGAGCGGCACTCCTTCTAGAATCGCTGTGGGTTAGCAGGTCAGAGCAAGACAGGGCATTCTATTTTTATTTATTTATTTTTAAGATTTTATTTATTTGAGAGACAGAGTGAGCAAAAGAGAGAGAGCACAGGAGCAGGAGCAGAAGGAGGGAGAAACAGCCTCCCCTGCAGAGCAGGGAGCCCGATGCGGGGATCATGACCTGAGCCAAAGGCAGACACTTAATGGACTGAGCCACCTGGGTGCCCCTAGACAGAGCATTATGGACATCACCTAGATCATTGGTTCCTAGCCTGGCTACTCATTAGCATTATGTGGGATAAACTAAAGAGCTGATGCCCCAAACCCCATCTCCAGAGATTCCCATTCCATTTGTTGGAGGATTAGGCCTAGACGTTGTTCTTTTGTAGAAGCTCAGCCAGGATTGAGGAGGATTCCCCTAGAATAGAGGTCTTGACTTTGGCATATATTGTAAGCACTTGAGGAACTTTGAAAAATACTGCTACCTGGGTCTGACCCAGGGATTCTGATTTAATTGGTCTGGGACGAGGCTGGGCATCGGGATTTCTAAGTGCTCCCCAGAGAATTTAATGTGCATCCCAGCATGAGACCCAGTGCCCTGGACCAACGATTTCATTTTGCAGATGGGAAAACGAAGCCTCGAGGTGGCAATGTATTCCAAAGTCACACCGCAAAGGAATGAGTGCAGAGAACTTCTCTCATACTGCAGAGCACAAAGCACTCACCTCTTTATTTGTATCTCTGATCCTTTGCTTCCATTACAGATAATCTCATTTAATCCTCACAACTTCTGGTGAGGGAGTGGGTAGTCATTACTTCCACCTTACAAAGGAGAGTATCAAGGAACAAAACTGTCCAAGTGACTTGCCCAAGGTAGAGGTAAGAACCTAGAATGTCCTGGTCCAGCACTCTTTTAACCCCATGCCATTGTCATATACAGGTTCTAGAATGAACAGGTCAGTGCTGTGAGGTGGGTTCCAGGTGTAAAGGGGAGGGACTGTGAGGTGACATTCCAGAATGGTGGAAAGGGTAGGACTGGAGGCAGACGACTGTTCCCTCACAAACGGGGGCTTTGGGGCAGCCATGTCCTATTTCATGTCTCCACAAACTCATCACGGTCTTCTGCCTTCCAGCCAAGGTGAGAGAGGGGCTCCTGGAACTGGAGGGGGTACCACAACTTTCCCTGAGAACTTGTTTCCTGGCTCTGGGGAGGTGGAGGTTCTGCTGGACATTTTTGGGCTGGCTCTGGAGTCAATTCTCTGAAGAAAGCCATTCCAAAAGTCCTTGCTAGTAGCTACCTGCTAACTCACTCATTGATTCAACAAACACTTCTCCAGTACTTACTCGGTGTTGGGGACTGGGGGTGTGGATACGAGTAAAACACCTAGTTCCCAACCACTAGACAGCCCTGTTGGGCTGGTCTTAATTGCTCCTGTTTCCAGTGCTCTTGATCCTATGCCCTGCCCCTCAGGGCCTCCTGAAAGACACCAAGAATAACATTCCATCTCATTCCTGTCTCTACAGGTGGGGCTGTTTCTCCAGGCTCATCCCTTGGCCTCTATAGTCCGATAGAGCCAATGCTGGTGGCCTCTAGCGGACTAGGCCCGCTGGGCCAGAAAGCTGAGCAGGTGGCACCTGTTGCCCAGGCCTGGGGTCTGGCCCTGGCAGTGCCGGAAGCCAGGGGCTGCCCTGGGGGGGCTAGCTGGGAGACACTGCAGCGGAAGGAGTATGGCCGATACAACCACAAATTCCCCCAGGCAACACAGCCTGAGAGCTTGGGCTGGGAGGATGGATGCTCCAGAAGCAGAGCTCCCCACATGGGTGGCCCCGGCAGGCCCGGGCCCCTGCTGCTGTGTGGGCTGTCACCAGGGGTTCTACCGACGTCCACTGAGGCAGCGGGGAAGGAGGCCGGCTCCCAGCCTGACATCTGCATCCTCACCCTGGCCATGATGATCGCTGGCATCCCCACCGTGCCTGTCCCAGGCCTGCGGGAAGAGGACCTGATCCGGGCGGCTCAAGCTTTCATGATGGTGCATCCGGAGCCAGAGGGGGCCATGGAGGGGGCGCGGTGGGAGCAGGCACTTGCCCACACAGCCTCTGGGCAAGCGCCCCTAATGAGATCCAGGAGAGGCCAGCCTCCTGGCTCCTGCTTGTAGCTGGATAAAATAGTACCAGACACATAGGGTGGCTTCTCTGTATGGTTTTTGGGCAGATAGAATTGGGAGTGCCTGTGACATGGACGGGGATAAGGGGGTTCTTTGAGCCACTCTGGTCAATACAAGTCTTTCATCAGGGCCCAGACCCCGGGAAGTTTCTCCAGACACCACTAAGTTAGGAGATGGTGTAATGAAAATTAGCTGAGGTAGGGGGCCCGGCTTGGAGTGGAGGCCTCTTTTGTATTGTTTTGGGATTCGATCAAGATGTCTGGTACAAAGTCTTAGGCAATGTGAATTTTCCCCTTGCCTTACATTTCCCAGCCAGCTGAGGGCGAGTGATGGGACCAAGAGCAAGGAAGGAAAACGAACAGTTATTTGAGCACCCACTGGTCATAGGCCCATTACATGCATTCTTTAATCTTAGCAATGCTGTGAGGATCTCCATTTTTACAGATGAACAGATTGAGCCTTTTGAGGGGTGACTTGCCTGATGTCCCAGAGCTAGTAAAAGCTACAATCAGGCCTCAAAAAGCAGGCAGAGAAAGAACCGGGATTTGCATGTAGTGTCAGACTCCAAAGTCTCTTCTTTTCCCCGATATTTGCTCTGCTGCCTTCTAGAAGACAAGACAAGACGAGTGCTGGAATAGGCAACATTGACTTTAATGAGCTCCAGGTGGGGGCCAGGGGACAAAGACGGGGATCCGCCTCCTCTCCTCTGCGGGTCAGGTGAGTCATCTAATGACTGGGCAAGCTGTTACCAAACCCCTGCCCTTGATCTCCACCCAGTGTCTTATCCTAGAGCAGGGCCACCTTTTTCTAAGGCCCTGGAGCTAAGAATGGTTTTTAAGCTTTTGAAGAGGCTGCCAAACAAAAGCAAACCAGGAACATACAACAGAGACTGTGGCCAGCAAAGTCTAAAATATTTACCGCCGGGCCCTTTACAGAAAAGGTTTGCTGACTCCTGTCTTAGGAACTAGACACATTTTAGGTAACAGGCTGTGGTAGAATAGAAGGCCCTTGTCCTTTCCTGGAAGGCAAGCTTTCATGATGGTGCATCCGGAGCCAGAGGGGGCCATGGAGGGGGCGTGGTGGGCCCACGGAAGTGTAATAGTGTGAGTGTATGTTGTGTGTATAGGGGTGGATGTGAGTGTGTACATGTGCATGCGCATCTCTGGGCATGGAGGGTTAATCAGAGCTGGACCTGCTCATAAGGGCCGATCCAGCTGTCGGCCAGCTCCCGCAAGGTGTTGTACCTCCGTTCAAACTCCTCCTGGCTGCAGTGCTGCAAGAGCTGACCCACCTCCTCGGTGAGGAGAGCCACGGCCAAGTGCTTATCCAGCGTCTCATTCCACTTGCTGCCCAGGATGTTGTCTAGACCGGCGGCACAGCCTGCCGTCCACCGGGCCGGCAGCATGTCGGGCTGGAGCACCTGGTGGCGGGCACTGAGCATGGCCAGGATGTGGCGGCAGGGCAGGTGGAAGGCCTGGTGAAAGTAGCAGCTGCAGCTGGTAGGGGGCTGGGGCTGCACCCGATGGGTGTCCTCCAGGATCTGGATGTTCACCTTCTCCGAGCCGGAGCCGATGAGGTGCACAGATTTCTGGACCACAGCGAGCTCACCCAGACAGAGCTGGGCGGCCGGCCCCGTGCAGATGGCATTGAGGGAGCGCTGGATGCGGGCTTCTACCAGCTGCTCCACTTTGGGGCTTTCGGGGCTGACGTCTAAGGGGGCGCGACTGTTCTGGGGACTCAGGCCCAGGCTGAAGCTTGCCTCGTCTCCCGCGTTCTGCTGCATGTATCGGAGCAGAGAGGCCATGCCTTGTTCCACACATGGAGTGGTGCCGAAGAGCTGGCTGAGGACACGGGTGGTGACCTCCAGGCCCTGGAAGTAGCGGCTGCTCTCAGCTCGGCTTCTCCAGCGGTGGGCCAGCCAGATGCGGTCATTGAGCAGCCAGTGTGAGTGGAGCTCAGGCAGCTGGGCCGGAGGGATGCAGCTGCTCAGGAGTGTATAGAGCTTCCTCAGGTTGCCAGCCGTGGCCGAGCACATAGTGCTCTGAAGCGAAGTGAGGAGCACCCTCTCCACAGGCTGTTCAAGGGACAGCTGATAGAACTTGCCCTGGAGGAACTTACAGATGTGAAAGGCTGAGAGCAGGACCTCGGCTGCGGGGAACTCCATCGCGAGGGTGGGCAGCGGGAGGAAGTGGGGATCCACCAGGATGGTACAGACTCTCTCCCATGCTGGGTTAAACTTCTTGAACACCTGGAACATCTGGGCCAGGCCTTCAGCATCCTCTTTGGCAGGAATGGCGAAGTAGACTGCCCGGGCAAGATGACCCTCCAGCTGCACCCGAGGTCCATCTACCAGGAAGGTATATAGCACCTTGCCTACTGGGTTATAGGTCCGGTGGATAAATAAGATCTCAGGGAAATGGGCAAAGACACCTTGCATAAAGCAGCTTTGGTAGTTGACGGTATCTAACTGAGCAGTCTTGCTAACCTGATACAGCAGCATAGGTGGGTTTGGGTCCTCAATCAGGAGCTCATTCAGCATTGTCAGGGCCATGGGGGAGATGGGAGATGTCTAGATGCCAAGGTCAAAATACTTTCTCTGCCAGGAGACTCTCAGGATCTCAAGCTCCAACTAAGCTGAAGCTGGAATGTAGTTCCTTGATCTTGTTCCAAAGATGGGCCTATGGAGAGGAACAGAATTTTAAGGAGACAGTAGGGGCTTGGCTCCTCGACTATTCATCCAGACAATTGCTTACTATGTATCAGCACTGTTCTGGGGGAGACACATGATAAACATGTAAACAGATATAGATATAACAGGCAAAGACCACAGAACTGGGTAACAGGTAGGGAGTAAGTTGGGGGAGGGAGAGATATTTAGCTAAGGTGGCCAGGGAAGCTCTCTCTGGGTCGGGAGAGGGGATGACATTGGAGCTGAGACCTAACTGATAAACTGGCCATGGAAAGATTCAGTTCCCAGAGATTTAACTGGGTGTGAAGGCTAGAGCTGCATATGGTCTCCCAGCCCCCACCTTAAATAGCATTTTAAATATTTGTCTAGCACTTTATGTTTACAGATTACCACTTGGCATCCATTCTTCCACTTGATCCGAGTATATATAAGAGAACTATAATTCCCCCTCAAATTGTATGATTCTGGGCAAGTCAGTGACTCCCTCTGAGCCTCAAGCCCTTGAACCATGCACAGAGGCTATCAAATGTGCATGGCTTCTCCTCCCTCTCCATAAATCCCTCTATTAACTGCAGTACTCTGTTTAAAAGTTTCCTCTATCTGCATCAAAAACTAATGATGTAATGTATGGTGGTTAACATAACAATAAAAAAAATTATTAAAAAAAAAAAAAGTTTCCTCTATTTGCCCCAAACCGGGTTACTGTCCCCATTTTACAGATGAGAAACTGAGGTTCAAAGAGGTTAAGTGATTTGCCCACCATTACTCCTTAAGTGGCTGGAACCTCAGACTTTGGCTGGGGATCCTGACTGCTTTCCACAGTACCTGAGGTCCAACCACCAGAGAGAGGACGCAGCCTCTGACCTCTCACCTCTAACCCGGGTGGGAGGATGTAGATGGCAGACGTTCCCATTCGGAGTCCGGCCGGAGCCAGAAGAGAAGTCAACCTCCCACCCCTTTGGGAGCTGTGTCATGGCTGACCGCGGTCGTCAATCGCCTCACACCTCCACCCCCTCTGAAATCACTCACCCACGGCTTCGCTCTGTCGCCATTTCTCCCTATTTGACCCTGCCTCTGACTCTGACTGACCTCTAGGCTCACCAACCGCGGGACCAGCTTCGCCGTGACTCGGGCCAATGGCCGTAAGAGTTCGCGTTCGGTTTTGGGGGCCTGGGCCAATAGTAGCCCGGCGATTTGTGGGCGGGTGCTGTTCCTAGGGTTACGAGGGGCTCGGCTGGCGGTGACCAATAAAAGCCCGAGGACTCTAGCATCGAGGCAAGCCTGAGCCCTGACGCTGGAACTCCGAAGCCCCGCGCCTGGGGAGAAGACTCTGGAAGGGCGTGTTACTATGGAAACTCCTCAGAGGCCGAAAATGAAAAGGAAAATAAATAGCAGTGCTTTATGGATTTTTCTTTCTTTTCTGATAAAATTCCAAAGCCCCGGGGGGGTGGTGGGGTGGTGTGTGTGTGTGTGGGGGGGGGGGGGTCGGGTAGGAAAGGATGCCTATGTGGTTGTACTGTGTCTTCCGCCTGATGGGGAAACTGAGGCCCAGGTCTCAGATTTTGACTTCTCCATCAGGGGTCAGGGGCCCAGCCCTTAAGAGTTGAGGAAATCCAGATGATCTTGTGAGAGCTGAACCTTGTGTTGCCCAGCCCCAGCCCCTCCAGTGTTTTACAGAAGAAAGAGATCCAGAATGGCGCTGTGACTTGTTTGAGGTCATGGCAGACTAGTGCAGGAGCCAAGACTGACTGCCACCTTTGACCTCGGTTCCCCTGAAGATGACATCTGGGCAAGCTGGGTAGCTCCCAGGTTTTAGGTGATTGAGATTACAAACTAGCAGGCGCCTGGGTGGCTCAGTCGTTAAGCAGCTGCCTTCGGCTCAGGTCATGATCCCAGAGTCCAGGGATCGAGACCCACGTTGGGCTCCCTGCTCAGAGGGAGGCCTGCTTCTCTCTCTCCCACTCCCCCTGCTTGTGTTCCTGCTCTCACTGTCTCTGTCTCTGTCAAATAAATAAATAAAATCTTAAAAAAAAAAAGATTACAAACTAGCAACAACAGAAGTCCATGCTGGGGCATAGAACTGGAAGGAAAATGTTGTTTATATAAACCTAGAGGGTAAATTGGGATTAGAACAGGCCAACACTTATCTTTACAGATGAGAAGCCAGGGGTCAAAGAAATTAGAAACTTGCCCACAGTCCCCCCAGCAAATACAGACACTGGAGTCTAGGGTTCAGGTTCCCCCCACCCCACAGCTATTTGGCCTCCTCCTGCTAGAATTCTAGGCAGCCTGAAGTCAGTGTTGAAGCCTTGGTTGGTAGGAAGAGGGTGAAGTCGGTGGTGGACTGCTATGTCTTTGAATTTAAGGCAGCAGGTGCTGTCGCACTCCACAACCCCCATTGGATTCCTTCCCTGTGCAAGCAGCACACAGTTCCCCCGCTTATTTATTAAAAACACACAACCTTTATTTACTATGAAAAAAAATAAGTACAAATAACAGAATCTTCGTAAAGAGCAGCAACAGCCAAGGTCACCCTCTGTCCCTTCCTCCCCGAAAACAGGTCCTTTTACCAGGTATATTTTGTCTCACCCTATCTTGGGGCAGGAGTTCATCTCTCTAATGGGAGTAAGATCTGATCTCAGGAGTCAGGGCAGAAAGAGGGGTGACCTTTCAGCACGGAGATAACTTTGGCCTTGACAATGAAGGAGGCTCCCAAGGAATGACAAAGGTAGGGCAGAAAAGGAGGTGGATTCAAAGGACCTGTCACCCAGTGGGGTTCCTCCTCCCCCTGTTGTAACAATCTTCCTAGCCCTACCTAGGAAGACCCTGGTGAGAATGCTGGCCCCTAGCATGTCCCACCTGCCTTGAGCTCTCAGACTTCCAAGGATAGGGGCCTGTGGTCCAAGGTGCCAGCACAAGTGCTTCAATCATGAATCGTGGCTCCTGCGGGAGGGAGTCCCTCCCCTTCCTCTGGCTTTCCCCAAAGGAAAGGGAGGCGGCCCACATCGTTGAAGTCCTCTGGCTGCTGACTGGGCTCAGGCAGCTGGCAGGGGTCCGCCCAGATGTCCACAATCTTGCGCAGGGTGGAACAGCGCTCCTCTAGCTCTGGCCCCTCGCTCTGCATGAGCAGGTTTGCCAGCTCCCTGCTTAGGTCCTGAATCATGTCACTCCGTCCTTGCCTCCCAGGCTGGCCTGTGTTTGGGACCATGATGGGGTCCCGGAGCTCCCCACTGGGCCCAAGGAGATGCTGGTACCTCTTCTGCCACCGGCGGCACACCATGGCTTCTCCCACGGGCTTCTGGCTGGTGTGCAGCAGGGCCAAGATGTGCCGGCATGGCAGGTGGTACCACTGATGAAAGGAACAGCTGCAGCTACAGCCATCTTTGCTCACCTGGTGAGAATCCTCCAGTAGTTGAATGTCCACTGAGGAGCCAGCCATGTCCACCAGGTGGGTGGAGTTCTGTGCCACCTCCCACTCATTATGGCACAGCTTATAGGCCAGTTGGGAGCCACTGCTGTGCAAGGCGTCTAGCATGCTGCCCTGGGAGATGCTGCCCTGGAAGGGCTGCACCTGTGGCTGCTGCCGCAGCTGCCCCCACTGCAGGCCTGGCTTGGTCTCTTCCACGGGGAGCCTGGTGAGGCTCCCCCCACAGACTCCAAATGCCTTCTTGGGCTTTGGTGGCATGCTGGCTGGCCGGGTTCTTTTTAACTTGGGAGGAGCTGTGGGCAAGTTCTTCAAGCCTTTGGTATTAAAGAAGTCTATATAATCCACAAAGCGGAGGATGCAGTCCAGCAGAGACTGCTGTTCCCGGAAGAGGCTGGACACCTTGCTGGTGACCACGTCTAGGCTGTCCATGTACGTGTTACACGCGTGCAGGCCTTTCCTCACGTGCATGTACCAGAGCAGTTCACAGGAGAACCAGTGGGCCTGCAGGAAGCCGAAGAGCTGCTCATCTAGTAAGGCTTGGGACATCTGACAGAGATTTTGCAGGCTGGCATCAGAAGTGACGAACACGGCTTCCCGGAGGGCTTCCTTCATGAGCCTTTTAAAGGATGGATTTGCTGAACTCCGATGCAACTTCTTCTCCAGGAGCCGGGTGGTGTGGTAGATGGAAAGGAGGATGCGCGCAGCAGGGAAGATCTCCTGCAGGATGGTTCGATGAGGGAAGGCCGGGTCCACAAACACCACCCTGACCTTGGGCCAATCTGAGTTGAACTCCGTGAAGATACTCAGCATCTTGGCCACGGAGGTAGCTGTCTCAGCCTGAAGCACGGCAAAGTGTACCACGCGACCCTCTCGTTCCTTGTTCTCCACCAAGAAAGCATAAAGGATGTGGCCCTGGGTGTTCTCCACCCGGTGTAGCAAGAGATTCTCTGGGAAGCGGATGAACAGATCGCTCATCTTGCTGCTCTGGAAGCTGAGCCGGTCCAGGTCTTGGCTGTTGCCCACGCTGAGAGAGGCCATGGAACCCTCATCCACCTTAAGAAAGTTTTTCATCACTTTTGCTATCTTGGCCAGGTCAGAAGGAGTGATGCCCTCCTGCTCTGGCTTTGAGGGCGCTTGGCCCTTATCTAAGCAAAATGATGGTTCAACAGGGGACTTCTCGGCCAGGTCAAGGTCTTTCTTGATTGCGGGCTGCGCGGGCTGGGATTTCTGCAGGCACACTGTCTTTTGAGATTTGCCAGCGGTGTCTCCTCTAGGACTTGCAGTTTTGGAGTCAACATGGATATGTTGGGTGTTGAGTTCCCTGATAAACAGCCTATCCAGTTTCTCATTGTACTGCAGAAGCAAGTACGCTGGGCACATGTCCGCCTCTGAGGTTCTCTTCCTGTTTGACTGAGTCCGAATACAGACAAACTTCACCTGCACATATCTAGGGAAGGTAGAGGTGACAGTGAGAAAGGTACTGCCCGCCCCTTTCTCTTATAAGACAAGACCCCGTAGGGATTCAGTGGCAGATACGTGTCCCAGAGATCACGAGGCAGTGTAGGATGTCAGGAGGGAAGCCTGACATTCACGCTCCAATCCCAAAGTGTTCAGCTCTTTTGTCAAGACCCTGTCTAACTAACACTGCATTCATTTTCATCGTCCGCAGTTCTAAGCCCTGCTCCTTTCCCTTTCATTCACCCTCTGTGGCCCATCTGCAGCTCCCAGTGATTCAGTGTGAGGCAAGCCACGAAGGAAAACAGACAAGAGGCAGCAGCAGAGGGCCAGCTGGTTCCTCACTGTTTAAAGTGTCCCCTTTGTTCCTGCCTTTTGGGAACTACTGCTTTCGCCTCTTCCTCCTCCAGACAGCAATGGTACAAGTGGCCCTCTCTCACAGGAAACATCTCTATTCATCTTTTATTTCAACAAAAATGTCCAAATCCTAAGAGAGTCTGAGAACCCCTGGGTCAGACGATCTTCAGGTCCCTGTCAGCTTTGCCATTCTAGGCTGAAAGTGATGATTCAAAGGAGAGGGGTAATTAAAGTGAATATCTGCTCTTTTCCTATACCCATTCAACCCATGCTTCGAGGCCAAATCAGGTCCCACCTTCTCCAGGAAGGCTTTGTGGATGTCTTCAACCCACAGTAACTGCTCCCTTCTCTGAACTCACAGCATTTAACATAAAAGGCTTAAAAGCTTCTCTGGGTGGCAGTATACCTAGTGGTTAAACAGTGGAGATGCTGGAGGGTGACGGCCTGGATATGAATCAGGGCTCCACCACTCAGAAGCTCTTTGACCTTGGGCAAGTCACTCTACCCCTCTGTGTGCATTATTAAGATTGTTATGAGCATTAGGGGCGCCTGGCTGTCTCAGTTGGTAGAGCGTGCAACTCTTGATCTTGGTGTTTCAAGTTCAAGCCCCATGTTGGGTGTAGAGATTAGTTAAAAATAAAAAATTTTTTTTAAAAGATTTTGTTTATTCATTTGAAAGAGAGATCACAGAGGGAGAGGGAGAGGGAGAAGCAGACTACCCCCCCGAGCAGGGAGCCCGACATGGAACTCGATCCCAGGACCGGGAGATCATGACCTGAACCAAATGCAGACGCTCAACCAACTGAGCCACCCAGGTGCCCCAAAAATAAA